GTCTTAAGCGTAAAACTCCTAGAACTCATCAAAAAGAATTTAAGAAATTAGCAACAGTGATCTGAAAAGTGATTATGGAGATCTGAACACAAGGAATGAAATTTGGGATTCGTTCTTTCATATGATTCATGATTTACGACTTGGATCCCTCCAGTTATGTGTTCTTCTAACTCAATCATTTCGAGACATCCTCTTGCCAAAATCTCATTCAGAATAGAAAGATTCCCAGTGCCACTCGAATTCCATATTATATAACATGATTACACCTTTCACAGGATAAGAATCGAAACCATGAAATTTAACATTCATTCAAAGCTTCTCCTCCCCCCCCCCCCCCCCCCCCCCCCTCCACTCCCATCGTCCCCTCGAATTGTATGTACAATATATATTATTCGGCCGATACTACCAAAATAAAATTCACCAAATAAAGGAAAAATAGTGCTTGAATTTTCTAAAGTAAAAGAAAAAATGGAAGGAAATAGCTAGAAATCGATTCCAGCATCAATGGCATTTACATCAAATATCCATTTATGCATAGTCACATTGCATTATCCAGCATGCAATAAAAAAAAGGGCAAAATGGTGCTTAACAAGAAGGTAATAAACTATCCCTACCAGTCAGAAAATATATGAGAAAAAATCCAGCACCAGAAGATTAATGAACATACAATAAATAAACCAATTAACGAAAACGAGCGTTCATGACAAGCGCAAATACCGACAGACTCCATTCAAGTTGAGTAGCATAAAATACAAAACATTCGCAGAAAAATTATCCAATTAAAATCAAAACAAGGATAAGCCAATATATGAAAAAGAGCCAGCCAAATTTTAGATAATAACTTTTACCTTCAAATTTTTTGGCGACTGAAGACACAATTTTTTTGCATGGCGGTGATGGTAAGTTACGGTGCTCCGCTGGTCTTAAGTTGTGTGAAACAGAAGATGCACTTGCTTTGATGAATTCACGACCACTCGAATGAGAATTTTCGAGCCGATTCTATAAAATATAAGATGAGAAAAAACAAAATTTGAAAAATGTACAAGCAGTATCTTATTCGATAGAATGAAACAAATTATTCAAAAATTTTAAAATATATCCATTACATTCATTAATTATAGCATTTTCCAATGCCTTTAAGCGAATTCTGAAAGCGAATTCGGATTCTTTACTTACCCACTAATTATAGAAATGATAAATAGTGATAAATACCTTGTAAACAGTGATAAAAAAAAGCTTCTTTTTTACACTCATCTACTTTTTTTGAAATTCCTCGTCTAAACCACAAACAAACAATTAGGATCTAAGGTGAAAATAAAATAAAAAATATTAATTACCGTATCTCCGCTATTGATCATCTGAGCATATTGAAAAACTCTTCTTTTAACCAAACCACGATTTTTGCATTTTATAAATGCTATACTAGGTCTACCACTAGTCCCTTCTGAAAAAAAGTAAGAAATGCTTTATCTCGATCAAACTGAAACATAGCTGAAATAAATTATCAAAGCTTTAAAGAACAAAGATAATTCAAGATATATCTCTTTAGCTTGGCTGAAACCAGTAGGAAATTTAAGTTTTGCCTAGATAAAAAGATTATAAAAATTCAAAACAATTTTGTTTATGTTGATCTGGCATAAAAAACAAATCGAATGTAAGAGAAAATGATTCAAAAAAATGATGAAACCAAACTGCGCTATGAAAAATTTTATTCGATTGCATGAGTGAACTATTTGCCTATATGCACCTTGTTTATAACAGTGTTTTTTTAAAAACATTCGGCTGTTATAGAATTTCTGTTCTTTTTAACAGTGATAATATTTGACTGTACCCATTTTTGCCGAATAACTGAGGAAATCAGATTTTTTTTCAGTCTTCAAACAATCGAGTTCGTTTGTAATTTCATCGAACAGGACTTGCTTTGATGATGAAGCCATTCCAGGAAACTCCTTCCGCTTTTGCCGTTGTACACGACGTTGTCGAGCTTCTACTCCTTTCTGAAGTAACATAAATAATATACAACTAACTATAAGACATTATTTTCAACGGTACAGTTAGCAAAAAATATTAAATATTTTTCATCAACTTTAGCTCTTTCATTTTCGCGAATTTCCAGCTAAAATTCGTGACAACTGCGAAATAAGTCGGAAATTGCAATTAAAAAATAAAGTACTTGTTGGAGAAGCAAACTTTCATCAGAAGATGAAACTCGCACTATTGTTCTGTTATTTTCCTCATCACTATCGGCAAAAAACGCAACTGTAGATTCATCCGTTCCCTTTTTGTAGTCCATCTTTTCTGCAACATTGCAGATGTATGAAAGCGTTTTGAAGCCTGTTCTACGATACTGTTATGAACAACATCAACAGATGGAATTTTAAAAAGCTTCGGCTTAAAAATAGTTCAAAAAATTTTTTGCGGCGAGAAATGCAGAATTAAAACAAAATAATAACGCAAAAATTAAAATTATAAAACTCGCAGCACAGTGCAAAATAAAAATATTTTTATTGAAAAGAAATTAAAAAAGTACTACCTTCTAAACGAATTGAAAGTTCGCTGAAGCCAGCGGAAAAAACATTTAGTTGGTTGCATTTTAATGATGGATCTGTCTTAGTAGGAGCCGTATGGCAGCGATAGCAATGATCTAATGTTTGCCCATCGCTTATACTGATTTCCGTAACTGGACACGTTGAATCAGATATCTGCAATTCATATGCCTCATGGACGATCAAATAAGAGGAATTATAAAGCGAAAATATTTGAATTTATTCAAAAACTTGAATTATGCCACTAAACATAAGCGCATAAAAAAACAGTTAACCATCAGTAGAAATCGAGATTCCAAATCGCGTAAAATCTATGTAGTAAATGCTAAAAAGATAACTTAAAATAAAAATTAAAAAAACCACAATTTATCTAGGCTTCTAACCCATTAGCGAAATTAAAAAGTAATTACTGAACCATAGCTACATAGGTAAAAAATAAGGGCACACCATTTCTGGTTAGACTAGTTCCGTTGGGCTGCTAATACGGTTAGAGATTTTTGTCAGGGAGTTAGCTGGCGATAAAAGCATAGATTAATCACCAATATCACCGTAATTTCTTAATGTTCCATCGAAGACAGGAGCCAAATCTTTGTTTTTCAACACGATCAATCCATTCAACTATCCTGACCCTAGCGTACAATCACAGCATTCATAATTTTGAATATTTTAAAAAAATGTATAAATTAAAAGATATTCCAAAAATCGAACATTGATTAACATTATGTAATTTTGTCTTTTCCAAAGAAAATGTGAAATCAGCGCAGCCGATTTTAATTCGCTGAAAAATAACCAACCTTAACAGGAGATAAAACTTTTCTTTTCGGAGAATCTCGCTTGCTTATGCTTGCTCCTTGAACTTTTTTGATCACTGAATCGTTTCGATTTGTAATGGTCTCACCGGCCCGTTTGCTGTAAACAATGACCGCTTAAACGATCAATTTAAATGAAAAATTTGAAAAAATCATCAAATTACATTTACAATATCAAATAGTAAACTATAGTAACAACAACAATAGTAACCTGTTCAATGCATTTAATTTAAAAGTTGGTGATAAGGACAACAAGAATGTATTTGGACGGATTACTGAAGTACACAACGATGTCCCACAAATGTCTGTGTTTTTGCGAGGCGACTGTAAACGAGATCGATGTTGCACATGTGCTTGGTGTGCAGCGTTCGACACACCAGCTTCAATATTTCTATCACTTTTCGCAGAATGTCTCTGACAATAAATATGGTCTACAAATTTCTGGTCTAATTCTCGAATCGGTTCAGTATGATCAGAAATTTTTTCGTTTTCCATATCATCTAAATTTATTCGAGAAATTTCAGGAACCATTATAATATCTGCAGAAATATTAATATTAACTTTTTATATTCTTAGAGCCTATGCAAACCTAATAATCTCGAAAATTACCTATATGAATTACCTTCTTCTGCAGAAACTTTCCGATATGTTTTACTAGATCCGTCTAGCGAAGCATGTCTACGGGAGCTTGAATTTCTTGATGGCGACATTCCACGGCGAGGGTTGACGTTTCGAAGTATGCTTGAAAATATATCTCGAACAGTAGATGATGATCGTCTTTGTCGGGCCATCTAAAAATTATACCAAATTAGTCAAATCATCAAAACACTTAGCATGTTAAATGAACTTCAAAACTTCATGATGGAAAAAATTTTCATCAGCAAATCAAACTTTGTTTTCCCCACAACTGGTAGACTGTTTTTGTGAAGATTTTAACATCTCCATTTTAATATCATCTTTTTTCTTATCCAGAGTGTTTATTGGAAGCGACCGTCTAAATGAAAGATCATTAAGGATAAATAAAATACAAATACAAAGTATGATTCAACTATTCATGGAGAAAAAATTTAACAGAAATAAATCTTTTATTTACCTGTTTTTTTTTCCATTTTTTTCGATTTTATCTTCGATTGCCGATGACCGATGGGAAATGATACTGCATTTCTGAGGGATGCCGATCTCGTTTGCATTGTCGATAAGATCAGCTATTAGTGTGATTCGAAGATCATTGTCGTGGCGAGCCGCAGACAGCACATGCCCCTAAATATCAAAATTCTGTAGCAAGGTACCAAAATAAATGAGTCTTCACATCATAATGAGTTTAAAATAACATTAAACCTGAGATCTTTTTTTCATCCGTGAAATTAGCGAAAGAGCTTCATCGCGGAATAATGTTGGAGCGAAAACACATGCAAGATTTTCAGTCGTCATAAGATGTGCTTCGTGATTTTCACTAAGCTAAAACAAAACAAACTAAAAAACAGAACTTAATAAAGATAAAGATGGTTAGAACGATAAAAATAAGCAAATAAACTAATAAAAAGAATGCCAGTAGAAACAGTAGCTAAAAAAATTTCAGCTTTTCATTTTTCTTTAGTGAGTTCATTAATCTATATTGAAAAATATCAACATTATTAATGAAATTTATCTTAATATTAAATTTTTCATTATGAAACGAAAAAGAGACAAATTAAAATAATCAAAAAAAATAAAAAAACGAACGTATTTCAGTTGCCGCATGAGGAAAACAATAGTCGCGAGGTGATTGGCTGGTAATAAAAAAACGGTTTCGAGTAAATGTGCTATACGTTCCATTCCTTCATACATTGATGTTATCTTTAAATAAAAAATTTTAAAAAAAGAGGTAAAATTTCAAAAGAAATTTTGCATCGACAATTTCTTATATATCTTTAATTCTTTACACATTTAATATGAAACATCTATCAAAAAATCTGTGCTTCAATAAAATACCTGCAAAATCTTTCCTTGCAACTGAGCAAAAAGTGGTAGTTTCAGCTCTCTAAAAAATCGCTTTATAAGCGAGCATATGTCGTGTACTGTATATTGCTCAGGTATCCCGGTGCAACCAAAATAAATAGGCTTAAAACAAATTCAAACAGTTTTAAAAAGTTAGAGATTTAAAAAAAAATTTTATTGTGAATTATAGATTAAATCAGACCAGTAGGGCTCAAAGAAAAAGCAAACTGAGACATTTGAATTCTCAAGATTTTTAAATCAACCAGTAATAACTTTAATTCCTTTTGCAAGATGCAAAGACAGAACTGATTACTATTCGCGCAAAAGCCTATCTTTTAAAACTATTTCAAACAAAACTAACTCTTGCGTTTTTTAATCTATTTGCATTTCCTTCCTTTCTGAATATACCCTCTATATTCAGCCCATGTGTCCGCAAATAATTAAATGCATCAACAAGAAACCTTAAATGAAACAATAAGCAAGGAAACAATAAGCGGAACAATAAGGAAACGAAATTTGGGCTAAATAGAAGATAATTAAATTCTGAATTATCAATGATGAAGGAAAATCGTTAAATCAAATAACGATGAAAAATCTTAATTCCTAATAAGATGAAGTTAAAATTTTATCAAATATAATTCAACTTGCACTATAGTAATTTCATTTTTTGCTAGCAAACAAAAAAAAAAAGCAATTTTGGCTACATACTACTGAAAAAATTATCAATGATGAAGATCAAAATTAGAGAAAGGAAAACAACAAAATTTAATGAAATTATTCAGGAAAAACAATAAAAATTACAATGGCACTCCACGAAGAATAAGCGTGCTAGAATGATCACTCCCCTGATTCTCCAATTCCAAAATATAACTCGCAACATAATCCAGTCTAAAAATTCCAAATAAATCATTCTAGAAATCCCTTTTAAGTTGAAAACTTAAATTTTATGTTTGATCAAATTTCTGCTATTTGATCGCTGTTAAATGAAAGATCGTAACAGGCAAAACTGCAAAGGGACGAATATATGCAAGCAATTAAGCCTAAGCCTATCCTATGGAAGGAAGAGAGAGGAAGCGAAATGCAACAGTGAGCTGGATCTCGAAACCCCTAACTAGGGATCTTCAGTTTAATTATTTTTAATTGTTTTTGTTACGTTTAATTATTTTTGCAAGTGAACAAGGTCTTAAAATATAGTTAAGTGATGCTTTAAGGTAATGAATCAAGAGTATTAAGAATAGGTCGAAATTTTCGGTGTATACTTCAAGTGAACGAAAATGCCTAAAGGAACGAACGTTAAGGAAATAGAAGCGAGTTTGAGGGGAATAAGAAAATATGATTTTTTGGAATATGTCAAAGAAGAAAAGAATTGAAAAACACAATTTGAGAACTTGAGAACAGATATCAAGAGGATATGACCGAATGTTACGAGCGTACAAGTGAAGAGCGAGTACTTATGGAACGAAGAGGTTCAATAGATAATATAATTTAGCAATTTTTGCGTATAAGCATAGCAAATTATTAAAGATATTTGGAAAAAGACGCAATTTATGAGAGTTAATCTTTGCAAGCCAGCTGAATCCGATTGTTTCGTATGTAAGCGGATTTATTACCTCATTTCCGTGTCCGAATTGACGGGATTCGATGGCGCCGGTCGCCAAATTTTCATGCTTTTTAATCCATCCAAACATTTATACATATTTTTCAATTTCTAAAATCAAAAAAAAAAAAAAAATTGATTCTAAAAAATTCATATTTCTACATATTTCGACATAAAACGACATTCTAATTCTAATTCATTTCAATATGAAATATTATCGATTTTATTTAATTTTTAATAGAAAAAAAGTTTGTAAATTATTTATTTATATCGAAGTTATATGAAAAAATTTCAACATAAAAAAAAAAACCTTAAAATATTTATTATTTAAAAAATTAAAATATTCGAAAAATTATTATTTAAAATAAAAAGAAAAATGAAAAAATTTAATCCTTAAACAAAGAAATCCTTCAACGTATTAATTAATTATCAATTAAATCTAATCGAAACAATAATCGCTAATTTTTCGTTTAGCTTTTCTTATTTCCAAAACGTGAATCACCGACGAATCACTCGTTGAATCGAAAACGAAAAATATAAAACTTTTCAAATTTAACTCGTAAAATTGAATTTAAACGAGGAAAAAGAAAAAATCACAAAAAAATATCAAAAAAATAATCGTAAAAATAAAAAACAAAAAAAAAAAAAACTTTTGTATTTTAGTTAATTTAATTTAATGGAAATTCTTTTGTTCAACTAAAATCACCGCAAAATGAAATTTCCCGCGTTTTAATTTTCGTTCTAAAACCAAATTTTTTGAATTCCTTTCAATTATTCACATTCATATTCCACTAAAACTTTTTCGGCTTTAACGAAAATCATTTTTAGAATATTTAAGAAATAACAAATAAATAAATAAAATCACATAAAATAATGTCGTAAAAAAAAAATTCAAAAATATTTAGAAATTTGAAATTTTTAAACGATTACAATAATTACTCACCTTTTTTTAAAGTTAAAATTAAAACTTCTCAAAATTTATCAAAAATTTTTTAATTTATCAAATAATTTTTAACATTTATTATTAATGCAACAAAAAAAATTGATTAATAATTATTAAAATAAATTTTATTTTTTCGTAATTTTATTTTTCTTAAAAAAATATATTTACTATTAAAGAAATATTAATCGATATATTAATTTAATAAAAATTTTCTAAATGAATTAAATAGGAAATTATTATTTGAAATAATCTAATTCATACGAGTCAATTTTAAACAAAAAATAACCGATAAGTGAAAAATTAAATAAGAAAAAATAAAAGTATAGAAAAAAAATGTCGACCGCTCAAGAAGAATACAAAAATGTGGAATGAAACGAAATCAAACTCGATTCATAGGTATTTTTATGCAAATTTTTGTGAAAAATAGATATTTTCTTAGGTTTTACGATAAGAAATAAGTGATAAGCGCTTATCATATTTAATGAAGCTCTTTATATTGAATGTTTATACGATTGGAAATTTTTAGGGAGCTATTTGACACTAGTAGTGCCATGAATATTTTTTATGGTAGGGAGAATGTCGATGTTGGGGACAGTAATCTGAGTAATAACGACTCTGCTATCCTGTCTAATTGCATATATATTTATAAAATTCGATAACATAGATCTTTTTACTTCGGAGTCCCCTGCCGTAGGCCTGGGAGTTAAAAGGCTCTACGCCGTGTCTTAGCTGTTTCTAGTAGTATATCCTTCTTCTGGTCATGATGTCTGATCTCTGATGTTATTCATGGAATCTCTAAGAGCTACTTTTCTAACTTGGGGATCAGCCCCAACTGTTCCTATCACCATCGGGAAAACTTTGACCTTCATTTTCCACGTCTTCCCTAGTTCTTCTTTTAAGCTCCGATATCTCTCTAGCTTCTTTCCTTCTCCCTGATGTTCCTTTCACTTGGCACTGTTACATCTGTCACCATTGTTGTTTTCAAGTTCTTGTCAATTGCCACGAAGTCTGATTGGTTGACACTTGCTTATTTGTCTGGATAAGGAAACGTCAGAGGATGTTGGCCCTCTTATTATCCATGATTTTCCTTGGAACCTCCCATCTTGCTCATATTTTGTACAGATGTTGCTATAATCAGATGTTTGGTTACACCAAACATGGACCTGGCGCTTTAACGAACTCCATGTTCCTTTTTTCCTGGCTAATTCTTAGCCTTTGAATGTTAAATTTTGAGTTGAAACTTGTGTGCATCGCATAAATCTCCAGGTTTTCACATATATGACCAATTCAAATAACGGATTTATAGAAATTGTCTTCCTATGCATGAATTGCATCAAAATATAAAAAGTGTTGCATGGAAATTGACCCTGGCCGTTCAAAGATTCTCCTATCTATTCATATTTATTCTTTGCTGCTAGGCAAGAATGACCATCATTTGATGAAGAGAGGAATGCTATAATACAGTACGCACTTAATATATTATACTTGTCCCAAGAAGCCATTCTTGAATAAAAGTTGCTCGAACGAAAAAGCAAATCACCATATTACCCCGCAACCTATCACAACCACGCGAAAAACTTATACTTCGCATTTTCTTAAAATTGAAACCTAGCTGCTCCGTATTTATGCAGCAATGATTTTGCCCTAAAGCAATTTCTTCGTGTAACTCAATGAAATCATTTCCACAAAATGTCTTTATCGATCCACACTGTAGCATTTAAACTTACAAAAATTAGCAAAAATTTGTGCTTCGAGGATAGATTTACGAAAAATTAATTCATCGTGCCGTAGAGTGTCATACAATAACCAGTTAGAAATATTCCACCAGAAACCACGAAAATAGCATTCAACGTTGGTCAACAGAAAACCCATCATTCCACGCGACGATGCCAAAGTACACGTTCACTTTTCATAAATAGCTGAATTGCATTGCCTCCCTCATTCCTCATCGGCCCTATTCCCTAGTCCTTTCGCAGACAGCCTTTCAGCAGCCTTTTTCAACCCTTTCAGCTGTTTCTTTCGGGAAGAATACCTTCGAAAACACATGGATTGTTCATCAGTTCCGAAAGCTCGGATTTTTACATCAATGAGATGTAAAGGCCTATTGAAATTAATGGTGAATATAGAACAAGCACGAAGCAAATCGTTTTGGCGACTACAAATTATTTTCACATTTACCGATTCCAATGACTCCAATATGTTGGATACTGTTGGTTGCACGCAAGCAGAATGCTAAAATTATTGCATTAAGAAAATTTTTTAAAAAATAATTTTAATAACGCAGATTTTACAAAATGGATTTTTAAACTTAAAAATTATAATAAATTAAAAAAAATTAAGTGAAACAAATGAAATAAAAAGTTAAAAAAAGAACATTTTAGCGAAAAAAAAACACGAAATAGTTTTAAATTATTTTTGCAGTTGGCTTCAGGCGAATGAACTCTTTAAATCGCCCTCGAGGCCTTAATTTCTGCTAATTCATAAAAATTTCAAATCTTTCAATGCACATCGATTGGAATATTTGAAAGCCAAAAATGATTTCATCCGACGGCTGGAAGTTGCTTTAAGGCGAATTCGTTGCTATATAAATTCGGAGATATATCAATTAATTGAAGAGTTGTATCATATTAATGTGGTTATTAGTGGTTTGCTAGTGGTTAGGTTAAGTGGAGTGCTTTCTTTTTTCATGTAACACTCTTTGGAGTGGACTAGTTGCAATAATTCTTAGTGTTACTGCATAAAATTCAGGTTACTTCAAATTCCTGCTATTATTATTAGAGTAATCGGTCGCATTATTACGAAATTGCTTTTTATTATTTGTAAATTTGATTCAGTAGTGGTAGTTCATTCAAGTACTATTTGGTACTGCCTATATATTATTTATTTTACCCTCCTTATTAAGCTATCGACCCGCAGAACATAATTATTTTATGGTTAAGGAAATGGAGATGTTTTTGTGGTTCATTTGTCCCACATCCCATTGAATCTCGCACTACCATAGTACTACCTCTGTTTGGTCTTCGTATAATATCTGCTGCTGCCCTAGGCATTTTCCCAGTAGCTTATCTTCTGGTGCCGTCTTGTTGACATTCCTGAAAGCTTTGGTTTCTATTAGTGGCTTTGAAAATCATCGAACTCCATCTACCTTTCTTCCTGGCTAATTCACAGTTTTTGAATGTTAGATTTGGAGTGGTA